TACCGCATATAGAAAAACCATGTATACACTAGTATATACAATTCAGACAAGTGACTAAATGAAATGATACACCTGAATAAAATAGTGGAGAAACATAACAACTGCCAATCCTTTCTAAGCATTTTTAAGATTGTACAAGCAATTAACATCCTGTCTTGCCCTGTGGAGTGTATAAAAATGCTGACCTCTGTTTTGGAATAAGATGGCAAGAGGAACAGATCTAAAGGACTTTGAAAGAGATTTGTGGTTTGAGTTTTGCTTAAGTATGCACTTTTGTGATGTATTTCCAAATGAAATAGAAAGAAACTTCACATCACTTTATGACCATAGGATTTTCTCTGTTACTTATAAGATCAGTATCACAGACTGTCATATTTTTCTGGAACTGGTAATTGTGGATCTCCTCAAGATGTTAAGGCTCTTTCCAGTTACATCTGTTATGTTTAATGCATCGAACTGTGGGGCATACAGTCATGTGCAAAGTATGAACACCCTGCTCAAATGACGTTTTGTTGATTTTCTAAGTGAAAAGTTAACACATCCTGTACAAAGAATGCACTTAAATATGGCATTGTTCTGCATTTTTGTGCACAATTTGCTGAGTTTAACAATTTATGTTAGATTTTTCCCCAACATATTAAATCCAGCAAATAAACATTAATTGTTCATGTACAGAAGTGTGTTCTCTGTAGAAGGTGTGTTAACTTATCTTCACTTAGAAAATGAACAAAACCTGTCATTTGCCCAGGAGCATTCTGCATACAACTGTACACATAGCCCAATACCGCTACGATGCAGTATTCTGGATAAGGTACACTCTCGTCCCAAATTGCAGTGTAAAGCAGGAGTAGCTACTCACACCTGAAAAAGAAAACACAGTGGGTGCTAATGTTGCTGGAACTATCTAGCCACTGGAAAAAGTAGTTGAATTTACATGTGTACATCAGTTCCACAGATATGAAATATGTTACAGCTCAAATTATTTAAGTTAATTAAGCACTTACACATGATTCTGTTGATGTAACATATTGTGTTCATGTAGAGCCAATGTATACATTTGAATGAAGTAAAGTTAAAGCAATTTTTCCAGTATCCAAACTGAATTAAGAGCTACACATTTAATTGCAAACTTGTTTTAAAACTGTTTTTTATTTGTGAGATCAGCATCACAGAAGGTCACTGATGGCTTTAGAACTGAGAAGATTGTCTTTATTCTCCAGCTTCTCACAGAGAGGTTTAACCACATTCCAATGGGGCCATTATTAAGCCTTCAAAAACCCAGATAAATCTCCTTTTTGAAAACAGGAAACTCAAAGCATATCTTTGAGTATTTTATGTTTATTCAGAACATTTTGAATAACAGTAATATGAATAACCACTTAATAACTTGCCTTTAAATGTCTTAACTAAAAACATCATAAGCTTGCATTTTACTGAGTATTTCTTCAATTTTTTCTCTTGGTTACATCTGCACTGGAAGCAGAAAGTGTGCAAAAAATTAAATATCACAGGATATATGAAGACTTTTATATGACAATATATTTGAAGACATTTGTATGCTACATGATATGTATCATAGTAGTTTTTCTAAACTTTTGCAAAGCAGTTAAAATGGCAAAATACACCAGCAGAATAGTGGTGCCACATTTAAAAATAGTTATGAGTACAAAACATTCTGGTGCTTGTGGAACAAAATCTCATCTCTCCAAAATGTTAATTTTAGAGGAGAAAGAAAAACATTCTTAATTTTATTGCATGTCAATGTAAAACACATTTTTTTCCAAGTAAAGGAATGAAGAATTCATCATGAAAACTCTGTGTGATGTTGTTACTCAAAACATGTTGGCATGCAAATATACTGTGGGTTTTGTGATTTTGAAAAGAAGGTTAATTGTGTTTTTGAAGATCAATATGGTTTTCAGTGCAGTGAGAAGCGACTAAAGCATTAAAGCTATCTGTAAGATATTGTTATGCATAGTTACAAATGATCTCAAACAACAGTTTCAAGATCTGTGTTCAATAACAAGGTAATTATTCTTTATGTATGTAGTGGCATTGCCGTCTCTATAACAAAAGGACGGAAAAGCAGAGGTCTTTAAAGAACCCATGGTGCATTTGGTTATTAATTTAATATCTCTCAGTATCCTGCAGTGGTTTTATAATCTATTAGTTCTGAACACACAGTTCTAGCCTGTCAAATGTCATCAAATCCTAATAGTTTACACACTTCCGCCCTGCAACTTGTGGAAAATAAAATTACTAAGCAATAACTTTGCAAGGTAAGTCAATGGCAATACAAGACATGAAAATTCATGTTAAAAAAGGCTACCTGATATTATCTATACGTTGTGCAGAATGCTAACATAACATTCACTATACTTCACCTTGATATAACTATAGTTTATTTGGGAGAATAGAGCTCTGTGCTGAAAGACATCTGCTTGTAACAACGTTTCATTGAAAACGGGTGTCACACAAATGGACATTTAGCATAATTTAAAATGATTTTACTTAAAAGTAATTAACATTGAAGATAGCAGCTTTTCAGTTGATATAAGCTAATGGGAATGACTGAACGCCTAAATCTAGGTGACCCTATGCTTTAAATAGTTCAGATCTGAGCTATATACAATATGCAGTCCAAAGCTGGGAGTCTGGGACCCCAGTCCAAAGACAATATGAGATTTAATATGCATAAGTTCATTGAAGGTCCCACATAGTATATTTTACTTGTATTTTACTTTCTACCTTGAGGAGCATTTATGTTTGTGTGGACATATTTACCAAAAAACAATCACACTTAATTTTTGCATAATCATAGTCCAGGTCCTCTTTGTCTCATACAGTTAAACTGGCTGTTACAGTCACTGTGCTTTTAAGACCTCTGATCTGACTGGCAGCCCTATATTGGACATTATTCAAAAACCATAATTCTGTATAAATTCCTAGTGTTTAAACAGTTGTAAGCTGAAAAGGCAGATATGTGTATACAATTCATTACAAAAACAATGTATTCAGAATGGGCTGGTAGTGCAGGTCATGGATTCTATGAACTGTGGAGTGAACTGTAGAAACTTTGACAGTGTCTACACACTATGTCAAATGCTTTTACAGCAAAAAAATCAAGAAAATTAGTTTTTTTCATGATAAGAACCATTTATAGAAGAGACCTAAGGATTTAGAACTGACTGGGACTGATTAAATATGGTAAAAAAGTAAAAATGCATAATGTACTGTGAAAAAGTTAGACACTACCCTTCATTTATTAAATTTCCAGTTAAAACAGGCATTAAAATTATTCATTTTCAGGAAATGAAATTATATATAGATGATTCTGAGATTATATATGAGATGATAAGTTAAAGGAATATACATTTAAAAAACAGCCATTTCCAAAAGTGGAGTTGGAACTATGATTAAAAGATACAGAAAAAAATGGGACACCTGACAACCATGCAGGACCTGATAGACCACCAAAACACTTACCATTAATCAAACTGGTTAAAGCTTTTATTTTTGAGAGACACAAGAAAATCAAGCTCCACTCTTTCTTCAGATCTGAAAAAAATCCACCAGCATTTCTGTCCATCCTTCCACTGCGAGAAGACAACTCAACTCTTTGGGTCTGCAAGGGTGTCTAGCTGTCAGGAAGCCATTACTGAGAAAAGGAAATAGAAAAAAGGAGAAAATTTGCAAATCAAGTGAAGCTGTTTGTGTTCTCAGAACAATGGACTGACCACCCCAGAGTCCAGACCTCAACATCATTGAATGTTTTTGGGATTCCTTAGATTGGGAGAAGCAGAAAATGCAACCAGCTTCTGAGACTGAACTTTGGAGGTGCGGAAAAATATCCCTGCAGATTTCTCTGACATGGATTTTATATTGATTTGTTTTGACTTTTGTGTAATTTTCTGTCAAATTTATATATTTTCTGCTTGATTTCATGACATTGAAAACTTGAAACTCTCCTCAAAAATATCTCCTGAAAAATAAATGAAAGAATAATACATTTTGGAGAGTACTCTAAATGTTTTGTTTTAAGACAGTTTCATTTAAGGACTCCTCTTTATCTTAGCAAGATGATTTTTTTACATCATCAAAAACAAAGTAGAAGTCCAACAGCACTTTATAAATCTGAACTACACACAGCATCCAGTTTGTTTTACTCATCATGTAGGCTTTTTCAGGGAGCATTACTTCTTCATTATTACTCATGTCTGTTTTCATTGGTGAATCATGCCTTCCTTGAAAAATAAGCCTAGAATTGTTGAAAACATGTCCACGTGGGAATCAGAATGAACAGTGCATGAAGATTTACTAGGAAGACTTACAGACATTCTCCACATGAGAGAACCACTGAGACTTCGAGTGACTTTGATGGAATATGCATAAAAAATAAAAGCCTGTTGGGCTCTGGATGCTTTAAAAAAAAAGATTTTTGTCTCTTGTGATTCAACAAGAGTTTGTGGTCATTTGAAAAACTAAAATTAAAACTTAAAGCTTTGGTAAAAGGTTGCAGCAGCACTGTGATAAAGTCTTTGACATCCTCTAACAAGGCTGTAGGTCAAGTCCCACATGTGCTGTAAAAGCAGCTCTGCCATTACTCTTCAGAGCCAGACATGAAGAGTCCTTCGTGTTTAAGCTCAGAAGGTCCATGTAGAGACCTTTTTACTCAAGTAGTTCAGTCCGTCTCATCCAAAGTGAGAGAAAATAAAGCGAACAAAGCTGAAAAATTAGAAATAAAAGCCGTGCATAAAATGTTTCTGCGCGTGATAGGCGTGATTGTAAGGGCTACCTGAGAGTGATGGCAGGCATTTGTTGAGAGTAGAAAAAGCCGGTCTACGATCAGGCGGTCTTGCTTCTGAGAGCCCCCTTTGTAAGAGCGCGCGCGAGAGGGGAGAGAGAGAGAGAGAGAGAGGGAGAGAGAGAGAGGTGGGCAGTCCTTCTTTTCTGCCGTGGACCTGTCGCACAAGATATTTAGCATAAAGTCAGTCCCCCTCTGCATGGGGATCACGCCTTCACTTTTCCAGCAGCCCTTATGACAGACAAACACGAGAGAACGAAACGGGAGCTTTTGGCATTTTTGCAGTCCAGGGAACTTTCTACATGACGGCTGAGGGCTACATCAGTTCAGGACAGCAGTTCACCCACGACGAAGTTGCGTTTTGCGGGGATTACTTGCACCAAAGCGGGATCTGATGTGAGTAAAAAGCCACATTCTGCGTAGAGAACAGTGTGATGATGCTCCCTTACAGCAGGGTGAGGCGCAGTGGGGGGACAGACTGCGCTCATAGCCCCGCTGTACTGTAGCATGTAGGCTACTAAACGTGAATGGAGCTGTATGAGTGCACCGCCGGAGTAGCAGCGCATCCAGCCCAGCCCAGCTCAGCTCCCGGCCTGCTGGCGAGCGAGCTAAAAGCCCAGGACAGGCACCACGGTGGTGACGGATGTAGATTAAATGATCCATCAGATTCAGTGCACCCTGTATTTCACGTGTTTAAAAAGTCACTGAAACAAAGTTCCCGTATATGAGTTCCTACAGTTAGCTTAAAACAGAGCAGGCTGTGGCTAAACTTCTCCGCATCCGGTCAGACAGCTCACTGTTCAGCTAACGCTCCGTTAAAAACGCGCTTAATTCCTGTATGAATCTCCAGGTCCAACATGTCGCGCAAATTTTACTCTCAAGACTTTATAACGCCATAAATGTTCGCTTATGTCAGTAAAAATAACGTGCACCGGGTTGCTGTGCATATACTTTGTGAAATTGCCAGTTGAGATGAGTTGAACTGGCTTTGAGTTCAGCTCACAGCATCAGCTCACACAGCGCAGTCAGTCAGTACAGGCGGTTCAGCTTATCACGTTCAAACGAAGTTCTAGATGTTAGGAGCATTTTTATCGTTGACTACCGTCTAAAATGCATCATTAGCGCACAATCTGCCGTTAAACTTTCACATTTGCGTAAATTTACTCCGGTCAGAAACGTGTCCACTCTGTGGTAGTCATATGAAAATGTTCTTCTCTCATAATAACTGGCGCAGAACTCTCTGTTGTTAGAAGTGCGGATATTTCAGAGGTCAGAAATATTTGCGGGATCTGCTCAAATTGATAGGTGGCAGGTGCTCGAGCCGCAAGAGACAGTGAGGAAAAACTGGCCCCCTCATACTGTCTGTTCTCCACAGCAGCTGCTGCGGAATTGTTCATTTAGGACGATGATTTCTTTTTGTGTTTTCTCAAAAAATTTACAAAATAAATACAGGAAAAAATTAGTTACTGATAAAATAAAATGGTGCTTGAAGTTGACATGATTAAACAATGTGTTAAACAGCTCATTAATAAAATGTATTACGTGAACACAATAATTGTAAAAAAACAAGTAAACTAATAGAAAGCAAGTGTGTTGAAAACGTATTTTATACAAGCACGAAACACAATAAAATCACCTTTGCCGCTTTGCCGTTCATTAAATAATAATGGCTATTTATGTCAAGGCCATATATATATATATATATATATATATATATATATATATATATATATATATATATATATATATATTATTTTGAATTTATTTAAAATTTAAAATATAACTGTAAGCAGCCGGATATTTATGAATGTGGACTTTCACGCTCACATAGTTTAAACGTATTAAGCAATAAATAAATACCTTTATGGCACGTTTGACTATAGAAAGCTGATGTGATCGCCGTTTCACCTGCAGGCTATTTTTCGTGTGTCCAGTGGTTAATATGATCTGTTGTGGGCTTTTCCGTATTTGCGAGGTCACACTGATTTTGTTTAGACCATATTATTGTAAAAGTTCGGTCGCTTTGGTATGCGCGCGAGAAAATTATGAACAAAACGGCGCGGTCATGCAGATTATGAAAGGTGTGTGTTTAGAAAGGGAAACTGACCAATTAGTATGATTTATTACGTCTCACTAGGACTGAACTTTCAGCTGTCTTGGGTGCAAATGTAGGCAAACAGAGGGACATGATCTTGTGTGGGCTTTACCAGTGGGATTAGACCACCTCCATCGGGCCGTCAGTAATTCGTCACCTCTGGCTCGGTTTGGGTCTCCTCACTCTACTCCTCTACTACAGAGCGCGGATTCACTGCACAGCCGCGTGCGGAGCGGGTCCTGAATAAGTTCAGCACACGTCTGTGTGGAGAGAGTTAAATGCTGCATCATCACATAAACTAGTGCATTAAGTCTGGAAAAGTTTACATAGTTAAACCAGAGAGAAGGTTCGAGTAGCGCCCTGTGTGAAAAAGGAGCAGCTCACTGGAGGCCATCTCTCACCACATTTCTATTCCCTCTTCTGGCTTTATGTGAATAGTGTAGTGTTGAAGATGCGCTGCTCGTGCAATATTCCATCAGCAAAAAAGAGACAGAAAACATTTGTATCTCGGTCCAAAGATTAATAGCGCGTGTATAAACATGAGCAGTGTTATTTTGAGAGGAGCGCTCCGAGTGTGTGTGTGTGCTGCCTCACGGATATGCAGAGGTATAAAAAAGAGAAGAAGGAGAAGAAGAAAAAAAGGCGCGCTTTAACACACACGGGCAAATGCAAATGGATGTTAGGAGGGTAGAAATTAACATCTACAAACATTGGGTGGAAATTCCATCTGCCGCCAGCTCGAGTGGGCCCTTAATAAGTTCTCAGACAGCAAAGTGACACACATCTTAATCAACTCTTAATCCGAGGAATTAATTCTGGACGCGTTTATGAATAATTCCCAGCCTAATGCCGCAGCCCATGGAAATGCGTTTAGTCTGCCTCTGCCCAGCCAACAGATGGACCGGCCAATCTCCCGAAAAATGAGAGGATTTTCCTCGGCGTTATCTGTCCTCTTATTAGATATATATTTTAATGAGATCGATAGCTCATATGCAAACCGCTGCATTAACGGAGGGCGCGCGCTCGCCTGTCGATACTGAACCGTGTTTAAGAGCTTTCTTCTTCTTTCTTCTTCTTTAATGTCGTGTAAATATGACGGTCTCTTTAGTTTGTGCGTGAATCTATATCTGCGTCTCAAACCGTAGACTGTCCTGCCTAACAGCACGTCAGAACAGCACACCGCCATTAGCACTTTCATTAGTAATGTATGGTTTACTAGTCCGTGATTTGAGACGCGGCCGATGAAACAGTCAGTAGCTGTGTGGTTAGCAGGCTGGACAGAAGAGCAAACGGCGAAGTGGCCCGTGATTGAGGCTGGAACACAGACGAAACTTCCAAACCTTCTGGTTTCCAAACAGGGTGTTTGTACGCCTGTTAAATTAGCTATAAAATGGCCATAAACAGAATCAATGTCTCTATAGTATTATAACAACAACACGATTATTATTATTATTATTATTATTATTATTATTATTATTATTATTATTGTCGTTGCTCTTGTCATCTTCTTCTTCTTCTTCTTCTTCTTATTATTATTATATATTAAAATATTATTATTTTTCTTATTATTATTATTGTTATTTTTTATTATCATTCTATATGTTTTTGAAAATGCCATTGCTGGCCGTTTAAGTGCTCTTTTTACTTTTCGATACATTCGAAATTGGTAGCTGATCAATTATTATTAATATTTTTTTGCCTGTATTCAGCACCGTTGTTTGCCTTCAGTTTATGCGTAAAAGACTTCAGTTTAACCCATAGACATCTGAGGTGAACTCAGGTCAAGAAGATGCCTCTCTCTCTCTCTCTCTCTCTCTCTCTCTCTCTCTGTCTCTCTCTGTCTCTCTCTCTGTGTCAGACTTTTATAAGATTGTGTAAAATCTCAGACTGTGTTTAATACTAGCTGTGCTGATTTAAGGTGTTTTTCCTCATCGTTAGCCTGATAGCCTGTTACTGAGTAGAATAGATTCATAAGTCTCTCTCTCTCTCTCTCTTTCTCTCTCTGTGTGGAGTTAATGTGGATGTAATGTATATGTTGTACCTCCCGAGGGGAGCAGTCGAGCAGTCACACCTTGTTCCGGACTCAATCACTAGCCCACGTCACCTACTAATTCCAGCCTGAACAAAAGCAGGAGTGAACTTTAGTCTATGTGAGTGTGTTCAGGATGTGGCAGTGTCCCCTCCTGAGCTGAGCATTCCTCCTGAGACCCTCGCCAGTCTCTCTGAATGATCTGTGTCCAGAGCTCTGAGGCTTTAATGCGCTACACTATTAAAAATAAAGATCCGGAAAAAGACCATTGCCGTATAAGAACCGCTCTTCTCTCCCTAAGGAATCTTTCACTGTGTAGTTCTTTGAAGAACCATTTTTCGAGACATGTGAGTTCTTTTAATTAGAGTTTTTATATTAAAGCCAAGAACCTTAGGAACCTTAATTTTGCTAAGTCGAAGTATCTGAAATGGTTGTGCATGTGCTCTGTTGAACCTGCACGGTGCCAAATGCATTCCTCTTAGATGTTTCACTCATCAGAGATAATAGGTGGCTCTTATTTCATGATCTTTTTTTCTGATCCCTCTCATCAATCAATGCTCATCAGCAGCAGAACATATTCTCTTACAGTGATCAGATAATGAGATCAGGACAGGCTGTCCATGACAACTGAAGAGAATGACTCATGAATACAATTTAACAGAGAAAATGTCAAGCACGAGATCTATTAAAAATAACCTGACTGTGGTGGAGCATCTGTACAGTGTGTGAGGGCATGATTGATGTCAGCGTTAGTGTTAGTACCAGATTTCCCCCAAATTTAAGATCCTAACATTTATGTGATATATTGTGTTGGGATTAAGCCTAGTCTGGGATTAAATTGCAGTGCCAGTGATAATTTCCCAAGTCGAAGTTATTTTAGTCTACATTTAAACTGGAAACAAGCCCTGGATGTTAATAGACACCAATGTCTACCATATTTTTTCATTATTAAAGGCATGGACTTCATGTTTCTGAATAAAAACAGGTAAAACGAGGTCTTATGTTTTGTTCGGTCTGGTTTTATTTTCTGACTGAGTAAACATCCCGCTCTGTCAGGTCTCATCACTGCTAATCTCCACCCTGAGGGTCCACCTTGTGAATACTGATCACTACATGATTTCTCGTTCAAATAAACACGGTTATGTTCAGATCATCTTAACCCCATGCATAGCAATAAGATTTTTTTTTCTTTGCCAGAATGGATGAAGTCATGTCATTCAGCTTACATCCACATAATTCAACATGTTTCGCGTTTACTGATGGTTGCCTAACAACAAGGATGCATTCGATGGGGGCATGTTTTGCATTTTTATTGGTATTTGTACACAGGAATGCTGACTTTCTGGCTGTTAGTCCTGCATCATACTCTATTAAAATGCGAGTTCAGTTATCTCCAGACAACTGTTAGTGAATTTATTTATTGTATTTATTTGAATAGTGAATTCTACTTTTCAGAGATTCTGAGACCCAAATCTAGACTAAAAATCACTGTTAACTGGGGGATCATTACTGCAATGCAATAAAGACTAGGTTTAATCCAAATGTATTAACAAATAGTGTAATTATAGTGATAAAATATAACATTCACGGTAAAGACACAGTTTGAATATTTTAACCTGACAGCTATGGTCCCAGCAACAAAAAGAAATTCCTCTTCATTTTTATATTTTACATAATTTGATTTTTTTTTTAAGAAGAAGAAGAGCTGCTCTCACTCTCAGGAACACCACAAAGAAGAACAAGTCTGAGGTCTAACTTTATGAAGTGAAGATGCTGAAATGATTTCTACCATTAAGATCCATGATTAATGATAGTAATGACTGTAAAAAGGAGCTTTAAGTAACGTGACCTTCGTGGTCAGTGAATTTAGAGCATTTCTAACAACAGTCTGTTGTTGTAATTGGTATAAATATTTGTAGCCTCCCCTGGACTGAATAACAGCAGCTACAAAATTAGCGTCAACATTATTAGTAAATTGCAGAAATGGGAAAAAGGAGAGAATTAATCAGTATCTTAATTTGCTTTAAACTGTCAAAACGCCGAGTCCAAGGTCATCTGGATCCTTGCGCTGAAATCGTTCTTCGCTGAGGTGAGGGGGTTCTGAGCAGGTGGGCTCAGTGGTTTTACTGCGCTGAGGAACTGAAGCAGTATTTTACAGCCTGTTTAATTCAGTTCTCGCCGCGAGTCCTGAGCCGCGCTGAGGGACTGATTCTGCCCCGTATGAGAGGTGCTAACTGCTGTTGTATAAATACACGAGTTGTTATTTTAGCTTCTATTACGGAGCATCGTTCCTCGCGAAACTGCTATTTAGAGATGGAGAGTCATGTGTTTGCGCTGAGATCCAAAGAAATGGTTTAAAATTAAACTTAAAATAAAAAACAATAATGAAATAATCCGTGTCGGTTAGATATTACACTTTTCCACAGATCGTTATGATGCATTGTGAGGGGTTATAAACAGTTTATTACATAATAATAATATATAATAGAGTAATTTCGTATACCGTTTGTTATACAGTTAAATGTTGTTATACAGTTAGATTTTCACATCACTTTTCAGACAGCTTTTTATTATTTATTTATTCTTTTTTTTTACTTTTTATTTTATTTATTTATTTATTTATTTATTTTTGTCAGATGTAGTTCTCTTTTATTGAGCTTTAGTGTGCAGAAGACTCTGATCACTCTTTACCCACCGGCTGATGTTCCACTGCGCTGACAGCTCTGGGACTGATCTCATTTCTAACGGCTCATTTCTCAGTTCATTTCTAAGTTCATCGCAGCTCTGACAGTTTTACACAGTTTTACACTAAACTACCTTGCCGTAAACTAAACTACCGTGCACTGCGAGTGCGTTCGCCTAAAGCAGGCTACTGTTTTCGTGTGAAAATGCGAACAAACAAGTAGAAAAGGCAGAAACACCTCAGTTTTAAACTACACTGAGCGACAAACAAGTCATCACGGAATCCTCTGAGATGAAGGTGGAACGCGGAGAAAATCGAAATTTGGAGCGTGTCATTAAATTAGAGCACCAAATGAAACGAGCTGGGTTCGTTTTAGTGTTTTGGCGTCTCTCATTGTGAGGAAAGTGAACGAAATCTGTGCTGTAGGCTACAAATTTATTACAGTTTGATTGTGAGATCGTGCTACGTGTTGTTTTGGTGATTTTACACATTTTGTGTTAAAAAGCAACCCAAAATGTGTCATCCATAACCGGATAAAGAAATATTTCAACACATTTTGTGCTAAAAGTAACAAAACTGTATCGTCTCCAGCTGAACACACTGATGTGTCTAGTTAGAGACAGAATGTGTTGTGTTTTTTAACTCGTATGTGCTGCTTCATCTGCGCTGATGGAGCGTATTGCGCTCAGGAATGTTGCTCTCTTCTTGTTTTTTATTCTTCCGTGTGCATCTATTCTGCTTGTGTTCTAAAGCTGTGAGTGTGTGTGTGTGTGTGTGTGTGCAGAGGCTGGAGGGGGTTATGGATTTTAACCTGCTGACGGAGGCCGAAGCCCGCAGCCCCGCGCTGTCGCTCTCCGACTCCGGGACTCCTCAGCATGAGCAGAGCTGTAAAGGCCAGGACACCAGCGGTCAGTCCTCACTGAGAATCCAACGCAAACACAAACACGCTGAAAATCAAAGCAGATTTAACCATAAAAGTCAAAACGTGGGAAGATCACAAATAATTACGCAATCCAGTCTCACATTATTCCGCATTCATGTTCTCAGTAACACTAAGGCAGTGCTGCACGCGCTGGACGACCATCGTTCCCTTCAAACGCGAATATGAATGTGTTTGGGCGCTCGTGATATCCCCGCAGCTGATAAACGCATCACAGCTTTTTCAGGGGGAATTCAGCGCCCAGCTGATGGCGGTCGCGCCAGTAACTGAACGCAGATGCTGGTTTAGAGAAGAGCTACAGGCTGTTTAAGACATCAGCCCAACTGGAAGTCCACGCACATTTTAATATTAGCTCTGTCAAATGATTCATTTGCCTCCGGCCTAAAGGCCGGTTAGAGGGGACTCGGGGATTTGTACCCCGCGCACTGATGCTCTGACTTTGGATCCAAAGGGTTTAAACGCTGATTCACACTGAGAATGAGTGGAGCATTCATATAATCCAAAAGTAGTAATTTTCTACATCGCTGTCTTTGAAATGTAAGGTTTTCAGCTGAGAGATAAGAAAACTGCCCTCTCAGACAAAAGGTACTAAACTGTCATTGGGGTGGTCCAACGTAATTGTACCATTGCAATTCTATTTTCTAAGCTGTATTGGCTCCACACACTCTGATTTGTTTCGGGACTTTTTATTTTATCATGCTGTGTTAAAGCATCAGGTTATTAAAATGTACAAATATGTACCTTGTCCCTTGAAAAAACTCATTTAGTTTTTTTTTTTTAATTTGGACCTTAAAACCACAGTTGTACCTTTGAGGGCAATTTTACATTATTTGTACCTTGTTGAATGAAAAGTACATTGTTAGAAAGAGACTGTGCAGGGTATAAATAATGTAAATGGTCCCTCAAAGGTACAGCAGTGTTTTTTTAGGTCAAGTTGTGTACCTCAAATACGTTTTTTTTCCAGGTGAAAAGTATATATTTGTACCTTTTCATAACCTACTGTTTTAAAACAGAACAATAAAATAAAAAGACTGGAGACGAGACAGGGTGTGTGGAGTTAATACAACTTAGACAATATCATTTCAATGGATTATGATACTATTATGTTCCCTGACTAAATGTATGTACCCTTGAGGGTAGCACCCCAGTGACAAGAGGGGTATTGCCCCAGTGACAGTTTAGTACCTTATTTTTTTGAGAGTGTAAACCTGCACTTTTTTCTGATCATGTGGAGCAGCTCATCGCTGAACCTGAAGCACTTTGCTCATCAGATTACTAAAAAGGGGCTTCAGTTATGCTATATAACTTCATTCATTTTATGGTAAATAAATACGTAACTACACTATTCTTATTACTATTATATCACAAATAAAATGAGACAGCTGTGATTATTTGTGTTAACATCTCTTACAGTTTGGGGGAGGGTTGTACTCCATATGTTCATTCTCATGTTTTCGAGATAGATAAACTAGAGCTCAATAAAAGGTCACTTTTCTAAACTGGGGAAGACACACTTTGGATCTTACGCTTATATAATATATAATATTATACTATTTGTGGAGAACATTGAGACATGGACAAGCAAATGTGGGAAAGGTGTAGTAGTACAAAACCCTGCTATGAAAGACCAAGAGAAACTTAAAGGAAAGGAATCTGTGCTGGAAAACTTCATTTCTGAAATACTGTCAGTTTTAGAGCTTCAAAACAAATATATCACAGGCAGTGATAAGAGGTTGACATGAAAGGTGGGTGCATCTGAGTTTATGGAGCCCAATGGAGATGAGCTTCTCTGTTTTTAAGTGAGCTCTCCATCTTTAAAGTGGAGCCTGTTAACAACAAATGAACTGGGAAAAATCTAACATATATGAGATTGCAGTTTAATAAAAGGTCAAGATGTTCAACAGAAGGTCAGACTGTACTGAAACGCTTATGTTTTTTGAACGGAACCAAATTTTTACAATGAGAATTACATTCACACCAGGAAAACAGAATAGTTGAAGTTGATTTTAGTGCTATTACTGCGCTCCAGAGGAGCCATATAGCTTGGATTATTTACTTGGTGTGTATTTTTATAAACTGAAATCCCATAGTGGGGGACACGTGGGATACATTCATAAGATATTACACTGCTTGTCATGAAATAATAAATACTCACGTTGAATAAACACTGCGACCAAATCCCACTGAGAAAAAAAGTCGTACAGCATATAGTCGTTTTGTAAAACACTTTCATAAGACATTTAACTGAAAAAAAGTTAAAGCAAGTCTTTATGAGGTAACATTTTTCTCATAATACTGCAAACTGAAGGAAAGTGAAGGGGCTGCAGATGAATTCACATTTAATTGGAGCCAAATGTGCAGAGGGATGTGGTGGCCACTCATAAATCTTCTTATAACAAGCCTGCAGGCATCAAAGCACGCCAACAGGCTTTCATCATAACGGCCAAACAGATAATCTCTTTCCATCAGAGCGAACAGAAATCAGTGCACTGTAAAGGGTACAGACTAATCATTTGGAACTGATCGTACAAATCTGATCAGTACTTGTCATCTTGAATTGTCTTGTTCCAAAATGTATTGTAGACCACTTTCGAGAACTTTCTTTTTTTATGATATACAGTCGTACGTAAAAGTTTGAACACCCCCTGTCAAATGACATGGTGAAAATAAGTTACACGTCCTCCACAGAGAATACACTTAAATATGACTATGACTATTTTCTGCAAATTTTGCCTTTGGTAGAGGAATAAAAATGTGTTTCATTACATGTCAGCTGTTATTAGTTGTTATTTGAAATGGTTACAAATGGATATACAGCATTTTGGAATGAAACTCTTTAAATTACATCTAAATATATTTTCTTGTTCAGAAGGACATTAAAATATAACCTCAACACTAACAAAAAGATGTATGTTTATCATGTTATTGTGTAATTATTTGGTAATTACTTATCAAAAAATGTCGAAGTATACATGTGTGATACTTCATGATCCTAATGTCTGGACATTTTTTAGTATTTTCCAGATATATCAGTTTATTACATTCGCTGTTGTCCTAAGAAGAAAGGTATATCCTCATATATCACTGCTGTGGGAACAAAACGGTAACATTAAAGGAGAAGGAAAAAACCTACTTTACTTTTAATGTAAGTCAACCAGACTTTTTTCCAAGTCATTTCAGGCCATTTCTTTTGGTTCATTCATCATGAAATTTACACACAGGGCAACAGGCATTTTCAGATTATGTCAAAAACTGAAAAATGAGGGTAAAAATGGAGATACAAGGTTTTGTTCTGACAGCAGTGATATCCTCATATTGCACATCTTGGATTCTTATATTTCTAAGAGTTCCATATTAAATATTGGTATGGGTAATTTGAAGGGAACTAAGTTCTGAAAATGTGTTTGTCCTCTGGCATAATAACAATGTGCTGTCGTGTTGGTTTATAGTGGCACTGTGGAGTGCTGGAAAGCCTGCTGATCATTTAGAAATGCTCCTACAGTTAAGCCCTTGCCAAACAGCTCCAAACCTGCCCTGTCACTAATGCCTGATCCAGGGATTATGTGGCCAGCTAATTTAGCCCCTTCTGTGAGGTCTTCAGTTTGCAGAAATCTGGTCCACTGAGAGAGGATTTTCCCCCAGACATAACAAAAGGGTGTTCGGGCCTGCTTTTCACCTTACTTTTGTGTCAGTCATTATTTCTTTGTCTTTGGTAGGCTGTTGTTCGAAGACTTTTTCCATTTGTAGAAGCTACAAAATATGTACACTGGTTCCACATGAACATTCGTATTTTAGAGGTGTGTTTAGAGAAATAAGATATCATTTCAATGCAACTGTATGATGGTACATAAACAGTCAGAATCTATATAGTCCTTTTTTTCATCCTGCTTCTGTGTAGATACAGAGAAATCCCATCAGAATCAGACGGATGAGTCCAATCCAGAGGACGGCTCTTTGAAGAAGAAGCAGCGCAGGCAGAGGACACATTTTACCAGCCAGCAACTCCAGGAACTGGAGGCCACTTTCCAGAGGAACCGCTACCCAGATATGAGCACGCGAGAGGAGATAGCTGTGTGGACAAATCTCACAGAAGCACGAGTGCGGGTATGTGTGCTGTGAAACACCGAATGAGCTATAGAACAGCTCATTAAATGTTCATATAATGATGATTAGCGATGTAATAATGATATATAATAAGAAAGACTTGACTGTACTTTGTTGGTGCTGTAAATAGAATAGAATAGAATAGAATAGAATAGAATACCTTTATTCTTAATGTAGAGGTACAAGATTCAGTCTGTGATGACAGCTGTACTCAATGTGTACATCAAAAGTGATGCATTGAATTAATTCATTCATTCATTCAAATGTGTACCTAATTCAAATATTATTTCTGCACAAAAAAAATAATTATTGACAAAAGTGAGTAGACAAACAGAGACAATTGTACTTATGCAGCACTGGGACCTTTTATTTTATGTGGAAAATAAGTACACTTTTGAATCAAGTAAATTCAATGGACTTTATCGGTGTACTCTCTTTACTCAGCCATTCAATGAGATAAGGGCTGTATGTCTGTACTGTAGATCTTTGTTCTCATGTGATCTTTCAGATGGACATAGATACATTGCCTATTAATAACATCTCTAAACTATGGAACACACACTTTAAATCCTATTTTTATAGAATATACAATTATACAAATATGCTGGATTAATGGAAAATGCAATGTCAGCTTAAGCAGGTGACATTACACCATTATTCCAGTTTACCTGAACTTGCTTTAGCAATTCCATTTATATCACAGTATGTGATGTAATACAGCTGTGTTCATGTAAAAACACATGCAAGTCATGTGCAAATTCAGTGCTATTCGTCTCAAATCACAGCCAGCATTTCTGGTTATTGAAGCACGGTGGAGTATAAGGCAGGTGGGCTCCTGGCCTGATGGATGACAGTACAGTCACTGCTTTCCTGCCTGCCTGACATCTAATGGATCAAATTCATGTTGGACAGAGGAAAGGTCACATAGCATGCAGTCTTGGTTGTTATTTTGAAAGAACAACAGGGCTGGAGCTGCCCCTGTCCTAATGTCTATCAGTGGCCTTCTGAACCATGCATGTATGCCACTAATCCTAGCTGGACACTCACTCCCGCCACATAGCCCAAATGCTTCTTCTGTCATGTTGATTTATGCAATTGAATGAGTATGCGTTCCTAATACACTCTCAAAGCCTAAATCATGGCCCTGACCTAAAGCCAAGCTGACCCACACTGCCTTTAAAGGCCTAGCCGTTGGACCACACAGGGTTGAGAGGGATTTTCTTAAAGAAAACTTGTAGCACTCGTGCTGCTACTATTGGTCATTATGTACCTTGTGGAAGTGTTTATTGTCATGTATGAAAATAGTTTGAATGAAATGAAGGGTTTTCATTTTTTATAACCTTGATAAACATGACCAAAGTGTTTTCATTGTTGTAGTCATCATTTTTATGTTTTGTTTTGTTTTTAATAAGTAAGGACTTGAAAATAGAGAAAATCCTGAAATTCAGTTCAGTAAGTGAATGACTTGCCATAGGCATAAGACTGCACTATTAGATGAGGGAGTGAATCTGTCATGATATAGTTGAGAATCTAAATTAAGACCAGAGTCACCCTGACAATCCAGCTAACATTTGACATTCAGTTATTTCTGTGAGGCCTTAAACACCATTGCCAAACACAAACGTCACTGGAAAAGTAGGAGAATGCTTCAAAGAGGAGGGGATTCCCTATCACTTAAAATAAGCTTGTATTATGTGTGTTGAAAATACACACAACCATAATACAGCCATGTGATGTACTAAACTCGAGCTTCGTGTCCATTTGAGCTCCTCACAGCTGTAGGGAAAAGTGGTCTGCTGAGATGAACTAGTCCTACTTTCAGTATTATTCTGCATTTTAGTGCATGATTAGTTTAAAATATTGAGAAGAATAAAATATAAAACATACAATGTGCTATAACGTTTGCCCAGGCCACATTTTATGTTTTACTTTTTTCAGTATGTTAAATTTAGCACATAAACAGTGATCGTGCATCAAATGTGTTCTCTGTAGTGGATGTGCACTTAGAAAGTCAGTAAAACATAATTTGACCAAAGTGCACAAACTTTTGCATGTGACTGTACATGGATTAAACTTTTCTGTTTGCCCTTTTTGGTATCTGACAGCCATCATATCATCAAACGTCTACCTATTAGTGAGCGTTAGATGGATTTCTAAATATTCTGTTTTATTATGAATAACAATTGGATTTCACTCTTTAATTTTATTCTACAATTCGGCTGGCTGTATGCTTAAGAAAACAGATTTTTGAGGAGCTAAATTCAATATTTTCTTTTGAAATTTGCAATTAAAACTTTAATCCACCTATATCCTCTAAAAATAGGATCTTAAATTTGACTAATGTGAGCGAAGCTCTCTCCTGACATTTCTCATAGAAGCGGCTCATAATAAGTGAATAATTTAGTTTAATAAATCAAAGCTAATATGGTTTGATAATTCATAGTTCTCCTATTAGTAGAAGTGTTCTTTTTTTTACTTTAGTCATTTCCCCCTGAAGTATTATTTTAAAAAGTTGGACACAAGTACACCCTGTTGCAGTGTGGAAAAAAAGACATTTATACTATTATTTTATTATAACATCATTTCAGTGTTAACATTACAACTTTTAAAGTATGTTTCTTTCTGTATTTGGATGAATAAATGAAAATTCTAGAAGAAATCTCATAATAATTGATATAAAGGGCCCATAGCATACATATTTGCTGTATTTTACTTTTTCCCTCTGAGGGGTTGTGAGGATTAATTTACCAAAAACAGCCATGATTCATTTTTAATTGACCATTTTCAAACATCTCTTTATCCCTCAGAGTTAAACAGCTGTTAAAAACTGTTTTTGTTACTGATATATGTATATGATATATGTATGTTCTGTAGAGTGTCTTTTTCAAAAAGCAGGCCAGGCTGTAAAATGCCATATAACTTAAGCTTGACTGGGCTGTAGGCCGAATAGATGAATATGTTGGTTTTCCTGACATCACAAAAACAATATATTTGAAAGGGGCTTATTTTTCATATATGGACTGTAGAGATGGGGGAGTGACTGATAAATTTTGAAACTTTAACAATGCTGCTCTATTTGTTTTCCCATGCTGTGGGCCCTTTAAAACTTAAAACTAATGATAGCATTATATTATGTAGTTTTGACTTGTTCCTATTTGCCCTTTAATCCAGGTATGGTTTAAGAACCGACGTGCCAAGTGGCGAAAGCGAGAGAGGAACCAGCAGGCTGAGTTGTGTAAGAATGGCTTCGGCGCTCAGTTCAACGGACTCATGCAGCCATACGACGACATGTATTCTGGCTACTCCTACAACAACTGGGCTACCAAGAGTTTGGCCAGCAGCCCCCTATCAGCCAAAAGCTTTCCCTTCTTCAACTCCATGAATGTCAGCCCCCTGTCCTCCCAGCCCATGTTCTCCCCACCAAGCTCCATCCCCTCCATGAACATGGCCTCCTCCATGGTGCCCTCGGCAGTGACAGGGGTGCCAGGATCAGGCCTGAATAACCTGGGGAACCTGAACAACCTGAACAGCCCCACGCTGAACACAGCGGCGGTGTCGGCGGCCGCATGCCCATATGCCACCACGGCCAGCCCGTACATGTACAGAGACACCTGTAACTCAAGTCTGGCCAGCCTCCGGCTCAAAGCCAAACAACACGCCAACTTTGCATATCCAGCTGTGCAGAACCCTGTGTCCAACTTAAGCCCCTGCCAGTATGCCGTGGACCGGCCCGTATGAACCTCTTCTGCCTGACCCATCTGAGTCCCCCTCCTGCCCACAAACCCAATCCCACTCCAACCCACCGTTTAATTGTGAGGCCTCACCCAGCAGTATGGACTATTTAAGAACATGTGTTTTTTTGAACAAGACTGAGTGCCATAGGAATAAGCTTCACGAGGAACTAAGAGAGAAACAAACTCGAAAATGGACCATGTTTCAAAGGACTCCTCCAGAATATGCAGAGACTTTGACGCTGAACCGACCAACTGTTAAAAAACAGGATCTCTACCATTTCTCCACTGCATGACTAGAGTGCAGTACAAAGAAGAGGACTCCACGGCCCTCTTTACTGCACTGGTAGGAAAAGGCCAATTTAAAATGTCCAAATTGCTCTGACCACCACCACGTGTACAAGGCACATGTGTTTGCAATACAGGCAAAAGGATGTACATAATAGACTTTCTGTTTTTGTATGTGACAAAAAAAATCTATGAAAAGTAGTACTTCAAAGATGAGATGAGCATGTTCCTCAAGAGCAGAACCTGGATCGATGTGCCACGAGTACCTCCTTAGGAATTTTAATCTTTGTTGTGAATTCCTTTCACCTAGGTTAAGAGGTCGAGGTCAGAGGTTGCTGTCAAATGGAAGATGAAAAGTAGCAAAGAGTAGTTTGAGAGAAAAACAAATAAGTACACGAGTAAAAATATGTTCCAGCTCTGTTGGAACCCAGAAAATTAGGACTTTTTCAAAAAAAAAAAAAGAAAAAGAAAAAAAGAAAGCCATTGAATATATAGTTTTGTGTGGTGTTCTAAAAAAGGGAGTCTATGACTGTAAAATAATGTATGTAAGAGTGCAGTTGTTATAAAACAAGTTTTTTTTTTGGTGTAGCCTGCTTGTCTCATTAAAAAGGAAAATAAAGAGTTATTTGTTTTATGAGTAACTAACACACTGAAAGAATCTATGATTCAGAGAATGTCAGAATGTATTTTGCCACACATCACTCGCCACATCGTCCAGGTCAAAAGTACACGGAATGTCAAAGTCCCAAAGTCCTTGTGACCCCATAGCAACATTACCTAAGCACCATGGCAACACCATGCAGCCAGACTGCTGTGGAGAGGGAGAGCGGCAGATGAAGAGAGATATAGATGTTCCTGTTGACTCGTCACTGATCTGTTTGACCTACAGGCTTGGAGGGGTCTTCAGCGCGGGCGGCACTTTCTGCTGAACGTCCTGCGATGGGGGTGTGGAGAGGGGGGAGATTCTTGGTGCCATGCCTCCTCTGCTCTGAGGGAACATGGCCAACATTACATAAGCACATAAGAGGCATCCCTCCAGAGTGTCACAACAGCGGGGACTGCCCAGTCTCTCAGCCACAGCCAAACTAAACCTGAGTTCCTTCAGCTGTTCACAGAAACGCCCGCTGCTTCAGACCTTTCAGCTCAGCGCAGCCACTGATTTATAGATCATAGTGTTTGGCAGCAGAGGGCAACTGGAGCTGAAATAATTATTTCAATAAAAAAAGTATTGTAAATTGAAAAAAAAGGCAATTTCTTGTACTACCATTCAAAAGTTCAGAATCACTTGCCATATTAACACGTTTTGTTATTTTATATACATTATATTAATTTACACAATTTGAATTTAAACCTTATAAACTATTTGCCAAAAGTTATTTTGAGATGCTTTAAAGAATTCAGTGTAAAAATATAGTACTTATTCAAAAATAATGAACTGTAATTACTGTTGTCTTCAAAAGTTTGGGCGTCCCTGGTCAAATTACATGTTTTGTTGATTTTCCAAGTGAGAATAAGTTTACACATCCTCTACAGAGAACACTTCTGCACATTTTAATACACAATTATTGTTTATTAGCTGAACCATAAAATGTGGCCTATGTAAAAATTATAATTGTGTTATAACATGTTAAACATAGCAAATAAGTAGAAACAGTGCACTAACATTGTCAGAAAAAAATGCCATAGTTAAGTTTGTTCTCTGTAGATGTATAAACCATAATTAGAAACTTTGCATGAACACTTACAGAAAAACATCATATTTAAGTTCTCTGTTAACTTATTTTCACTTAGAAAATCAGCAAAACATCAACTGTCGTTTGACTGGGGATGCTAAACTCTTACATGACTCCATTCATTCGCAATATTTTTTTGGGAAGTTATCCGCCTCGAGATTTGATCTCCACTTCTTAAATATGATGAATTCTGGATATTATTTTTAATCAGTTAATTCTCACTGCTTTTCAGCTCTGTTATTGTGGAATGTTCACTCTTTCAAAACCGGTGCCACAAAGGGATCTTTGCGCGATGCCATAGAAGAACTACTTTTGATTCCCTGAAGAACCGTGTTTGAAAAAGAGATTTAGGAGAGTGAAGAAACTTTCGAAGGCTTCACATAATATAAAGGTTCTTTGTCACTTTCACAGGGTTCTTCCTGGAACCATTACATTGTGCAGAGGTTCGTTAAACTTTTTTTTTTTTTCTTTAGGGAACCAAAAGTGTTTCTTCTATGGTAAGATTTTTAAGGGTGTTCTACAGTTCTGTCCATCATTCTGGACACATTCTGGATCTCTTTATGTTTATTTACAGCCTCCTTGTGTTCTACAAAATATTTGAAAGTGGCGGAGTTTCACAAGACTTGCATGTATCTGTTGAAAACAGTAAATCTAAACTTTTGAATGGTAGCGAATGCACTAACAGATACTACTACATCAGACCTGCTGAGTTTCCACAGCACAGTCAAACTGTAATTGATATAGACTCCAAAAATGACCACAAACAAGTTCTCTCAAAGGTGATACATCACTGAACACAACTTAGTTGGTGTGATTTCTTCGTATTTGACGTGTTATTGCTACCCTTTGTTTACATCACTATTTGCAAAATAATACATAACACAACACACACACACACCCCAAAGTATGCTATGCATCAGCATTATTACTATTTTTTCAACATATTCATATATTCCATATATTTCCCATTCATTATGTACACCACAAATTCATTACACTAGGATTTCAACTTGATACTTGATACAAAAATCAGAAAACAGTATCATTATTTGTGTAACAACAAATAGAGCATATAATCCATAGCGTGCAATATAAAGGGACAAAATATACAGTATTGTGCAAAAGTGGCCATATATATATATATATATATATACATATATAGCTGTTGTCGTAAGAAAATAAGAAAACCTTGTATCTCCAAAATGACTTTACAGGAGAGAGAAAAAACCTACTTTATTTTTAATGTAAGTCAATGGAACCAGACTCTTTTCCAAGTCATTTTTGCTGTCCAAAGAAAAACATGTCTCCAAAATAGTAATTTTACAGAAGAGGGACAAAACATTCTTTACTTTTACTCATCATGAAATTTGAAATTTTCACACAATGTAAAGAATTGGCTGCCGTGCTCAAATGATGTAGAAAAGTAGAAATGGAGATAAATTAACCTTAGACACTAACATTAGAACAAATACAAAATATTTATTTTCATTTATTCATTGATTTATTTATTATGTAAAAAATACACAGTGATTTTATGTGTGTTAGTGTGCTAACCATTTCCAAAGCTCTCCTCAAGGAAGCCCAGTGTTTACAGTTACCATCTAATCAGTCCCATAAATTAAATCCAAACCTGGAACCAAACCTGTGTTCTTCTAACTTCTTTTAACCAAGATATTAATAGTGTCTTAAAAACAACAAAATCATGTTATGTTTTCTCTGTATTTATGCTTATGTGTATTTATTTTACCATTGTATCATTTTTTACAGGCACTAGCTGCTGAGGTAAATAGTTGTAAACTATTTTTGTTGTAAAGTGCCTAAGACTTACGCACAGTACTGTAGCTCTTTGAGGCTCTATGAGATTATGAACTCCAAATTGTTTGTAGATAAAATGTCTCTTTCATATGAGTGATCACAGACAACAGCCTCTATTGTTCCTGCAGAAAAGCCTCTGTATGTGAGCGTAAGAGTTAGTGTGTACGAGCGTGATCCGCAGACAGAGGCGAGGCTCGGTCACACTGATGATCCTCTCTCAGCACTCCGAATCAATATCTCACTGGAGGGTAAATATCCTCTAGTCCCCAATGTTTACTCCATAGACTGTGAACCAGAAAGAAAACGCATTTACAATGGTCATGACCCATGCTCTGAAAAATCCTTCTAACTGGTAAGCGTAGTAACAATCACCTCCGAGATTTCGGTCACCTATAAAGCAAGGTGAAAGCTCAATTTTCAGACTGTGCCATGGAGCAGTACTTGTCCAGGAGCTAAAGCTGCTCATGAGCACACTCACTGATGTGCTTCTGTATGGTTACAGCATGAAGTAAATGTACTAAAACTACAAGGTTACATGCTTAGAAACAACTGATTCTTAACATACTGGAGAGTCTAAACTGACTGAAAAAAGTGATGCACTGAATTTACTTGATTTAAATGTGTACATCATTTCCACTTTACTAAAATATGCAGTCGTATGCAAAAGTTTGGGTGCCCCAACATGATTTGTTTGTTTTCTAAGTGAAAATACGTTACCACATCCTCTACAGAAAACACAGTTCTGTGCTTTTTAACGCACAATTACTGTTTATTTGCTGAATTGAACCTATTGGAAAAAATTAAACACATAAAGTGTGGCCTGTGCAAAAATATTGCACATACTTATATTTCTATACGTATTTTAGTTTATTAACTGTTATATATAATACATAAAATACCTTATACATTTTTATTATTTTTTTCCAATATGTCAAACTCAAATAAATAGAAATTGTGAACTAAAATTGGCAGTAAATTGTCATAGTTAGGTGTGTTCTCTGTAGAGGACGTGTTACCTTTACATTTTCACTTAGAACAAATCAACAAAACGTCATTTCACTGGGGGTGCCCAAACTTTTTTTATACAACTGTATTATACCAACACTGTTCTCTTAATTTATGTATTTAATAACTGTGCTGATGTAATATTTTTTATTCCTGTGCAAAATGTTTATCTTAATTAAATTCAGTGCATCACTCCTCAACCACAGCAGGTTCAGTTTATGTCACACAACCAACACAGCAGGCTACTGCAGTCTTTGGTTACTCTGTTGGTCTGAAAGTGGCGGACAAGCAGGACTGCGACTAAAACTTCCTTGGGACCAAAAGCACTGTGATTATAATAAGTAGAAGATTAGCTCAGAAAGCATTCTACTGTCCTTTTACAGCCTGTATATATCTAAGGAGAGCAGAAGAGACAAGGATATTCATCATAAATACATATACTATAACTTTTTATAGTTTTAATAACAGCTGATGAGCAGAAATGATAACTTCTTTAAAATTGCAACGGAAAATGGAAAAAAAATGATACCTGAACAAGTGAAAATATTTTAAGTCTAGTCAAGATATCTAATATTTCTCATTATTGGATTGTTCTGAGAATATTCTCAGATTATTTAACATATTTCTATGCATTTTTACTTGTTTTAAGTGATGTTATCATTAGTGTCTTGTTCCATTGGCAGATGATCTTGTTTAAAAAAAAAATAAGCAAAAATATCTGCATTATTTCTCAAAAACAAATACAATTATCTACCATTGGAATGACACTTTCACTAGATAACATTACTTAAAATGAGTAAAACATGTCCATTATGAAATTCTATAATATTCTCACAACAATCTCATGAGACATTAGATATATTGACTAGATTTAAGATGTTTTCTTGGTCAGATGTCCTTTTTTTGCAGTGAACACATTATTTCATTTATAACCACATTTAAGGTTTTTCAACACACACATTTTATTATCACTTAAATGAATGAATATAACTGACTTCACAATAACACAATAACTCAGCAATACAACATTAAAACACTCCACAGTCGGCATGTATAAACTTCAGATTCATAACTTAGATGCTTGTACTCATTTTTACCGAAGATACAACTACATCAAAGGGCACTACAAGTGCAGGATATTACAAAACTTGTCATGCCAAGACTTGCAATCATGAAATAATGAAAACCTTTTAAAAAGCTCATTATCAAAAGTCATCTCTTACATAATGCATTCAAAAAGGTATTGTGCCTTATATCAAGAAGCAGTGCCCTAATTCGCTAATTGCACATATAGTTGGAGGCCTCAACTTAATTACATTTTTTTAATCAATGGTTCAGTGAATTCATGTCATGGGGCACTAAGATGAAATTAATATGGAAAATTGGATAAAAGTTATTGAAGCCTGAACAGAGTGCCTTAATCATGATAATTAGTACTGAAAATAAAAACACTGTGGAGAAAATGTCATTTCTTTTTATACTGCGTTCTAAATGAGGATTAAAGAAATTAAAGTCTGCCGGGACGGCTCTCTAGAATTATTAACTAGACAAACTGATCAAAGACAGACAGAAAGTGACTGCACTGTCTCGATATTAGAACTGATTCATGAGCTGTTTGCATGAGCTGCCAAACGAATATATTTATTGAACATTTGAACTTGTCTATTTATTGTGAATGTAGACTATAAAACAGGATTTTATAATTAAGATTGTATTATTGCCCATAATAATCCTTAAACTTTATCATTAAGTGTAACTTCATAGCAACAGGCTTCAGTAGGCTGCATGGAATTTGCTATAACACTGATCATAATAATAATGTAATGTAGGTCACTGAGCTTAAGCTCATGTTAGCTGTTTCCAAACCCTTTTTCCATCTATTGGTCATTATTACCTTCAAAAAAGAAGGGAAGGTATATCAGGCCCAAAAACAACATCATGTTTTAAAGATTTGGTTGGTAGTTTTTTTAAGCATTTACATTGCCAAATTAATCAATCAAAAGTTAATTAATCACTCCGGTTAATCCATTATTTTATGGCAAGTGCTACAGCATGTAGTAGCCTGAGGCCTGATTGACATAGAAGACCCCAGACTTCACAACTCTTGTACATGAATTGCAAAAAAAAAAACCTCCCTCACAATGAATGTATGATTCTAACAGCACATTCGGATTATGATACCACAATGGAAATATCTGCCTGCATCCAACTGCATTTAATTATCTGCAAGTTATTTCTCCTCTTGAGGTCTATTGCCTCTTGTGACCATCCTCCAAATGTAATGCACTATGGGATTAAAATTCCAGAGGTAAATCCAAAAGATGGTTCAGCCTGTTTTTCTTACCTTTTGCCTAAACCCAGCAGCTTGCTTCATCTTGTTCATAGCCTGATTTCCTCTTGGCTAGTTTTACAACTGAAAAACGTCATAGATTTAATATAGATTGAGTTAGACTCTGTAACGTAAAAGACAAAGGCCTATAATGCCCTACCGTAGATAGATGTGTGAAGAGCACCAGTGATTATATTAGGACACACCAGCTAAACCGTGAACAGAAATGCACATCTGGTAACACAGATAAGGCCAGAGTTAGAACAGCTGGCCACTGGCTCACCAGCACAAAGCTGCGCCAGCAGCCACCATTAATTAGCTTCATCAATATTAGTGCAGGCCTTCCTCCACTCACCTGATGTTATTCTGTGAAAGGATTATCCTGGGCTTTAAGAGAACCACCCGCTGACCGTGCTCAGCAGTATATGGCAGCTCAGTTGTAGGATCAAACTCAATTTTATTTTCATTTCTCCCTGCTTTGAATATGATAAGAGCCACTTAACGAGCTTAACATTACTGGGAGTACATCAGCCTCCTTTTTTATTGGTGGTGGTAAAATGCAAAGTGTAACACGAGCAGCAGCTCGAGTGATCAGTGATCACACAGACGGAGATGATGAACAGGCCCACAGCTCCTTTAGCTCTGTAATCTACTCTGCACTGCTCCTTCTCGTCCACTAAAACGTGCTCTTTGCTGCCATCTGTTGGCCATAAAGTGCACGCCAGCTGCATAAACTCAGACACGGAGGAGCCAGTGGTATTAGGCCTCCAGCTTTGGAGCCGCATGACTGTTCAAACCAAACAGGCTGCTTCAAATTAAATCCATTGCTCGCTCCTAAAGAGAAGCACTTAGAGAGAAAAAGTGAAGCTAATGACCACTTCTGCAATGGTTGGGTCAGGCATAGCAGTTGGTGAGATTTTGGTGGCTCTCTGCTGGTTTTTGGACCAAATGTCTTACCACTGAGCTCCCAAAGCTCCTCTAGGCCACAACCAACCCAGCTCCCCTGGGAGAGTGAAATATGGCAATGTTTGTGCAAATCTGTTAATTATTACACTTATTATTGTTATTATCCAACATTCTGGACAAAAAATAACCTCTATCTTGCTACTAGGCATGGAGCCTGATGTTTGAAGCAGATCAGTTCGGAACAACTCGAGGACACTCAAACAAAACCACGGTGAATAATCAACCAAGAGATGATTAGCAATTGATATTCAAACATTACATAAGATACCAAAAGGAAATTGGATAACAAGGGATTTTAATAAGCAAGGACACTGTTGATATGAATGTTCCAAGGTTCTGCACTCTTTCTCATGACCTTTTTACACATAGGCTGCAACCAGAAAAATACATATGTCATTACATAGACTACATCTAAAACTTTTTTTTTATTTCATTTGCTTGGTGTTAGGCCTTTTATAGCATTGTGCCATTGCACCACAACAAGGGAAATGACTCTTTCGCCTATAGCTAATATGTCAGATATTTCACTTTTAACTTAGAAAAACAGGACATTGTTTGCTAACATCATAATTCTTCACCTACACTGACATAAAAGCTATGTAATTATATAATTTGTCTCCTGAACAAGTGAATGTGCTGTGCCAGGTAGAATCAACTCAGTTGAAGGCGCAAAACAGGTGCATGTTGCGTTGTGCCAGTTCCTCACCTGGACCTTTCTCACGTTCACATTTGTCCACCGGTTTGAGGATCACATATATAAGGAGCTGCAGAACATTTTAGGCTGTTGTCATTATCGAAGTAAGTATGTGATTAGGATAGATGTGGATGACCAATTAGCACTTACATTTATATTCTGCTGAAGGGTGATTTGTTTTGTTCTGTTTTCAGATGTGGCTGTTTTGGATTGGAGGACTTTTGAGTTGCCTTGTAGGGGCTGCGTATGGTAAGAACAAAAAAGATGTATTCACATTATTATCAAAGGGCCTAAGAATCATATAAAAGAGAAAAGGATTTGTGTATGAATATTTCACACCAAAAGTACTTATTCAATAATAGATTGTTTGATATCTAAATTATTGCATACACTTCACATACGAACAATATTTTGTTCCAATGTATATAAGCTATATTGAGGAATGACCATTTAATACTTGACATGCATGTATAAATTTGCTTGCTCTTATTCTCGGTCTGTATTAAATGACTGGCAGGTGGTGAGGTGTGCTATGGAGAACTTGGCTGCTTCTCTGATGATTATCCATGGAGCGGCAGTATTGAGAGGCCCATTGCCCGCTTACCATGGAGCCCTGACGCGATCAACACTGGGTTTTTCCTCTTTACACAAGAGAATCCTAATAACTACCAGGTAAGTTGGTATGTTCTTCACTGCCTGACTTGTAGAGCTGCAGCAGAATTTTGTGTTACCTGCACAAATCCATCTAAACAGGCAAGCTCTTATAAACAGGGGACCATGCTGTTTTAGTGATGTGTAGGGACATATCAATATGGCAATTCCTGGCTTGTGCAGATATCAACATGCTTATAGCTACATGTAATAGTGATGTGTTTACATTTGGACAGTAACAGATCAAATTGGTTCATTGTATTTGCTATGAAATTAAACATTTTATTCTATGTACTTCATGTTTAGAAGTATTCTGCATATATCCTTAACCATGTGGTCTCATCCAGTTACACTGACTTATCAAGGCTAAATATATGTCAAATCCAAACACTGAATCAATATGATCATTTCATCAATTACCTGCCAAAACTAGAATAATGCTAACATTATCAAGTATATTTATAGCAACAATAAAGTGAATCAACAGAGTTCTCATAAAAGATAATATGTTTTTCTCCACAAACTGTCGCCAATGTTTTCAGGTAATCAGCGCAAACAGAGATTCCATTGCTGGATCCAATTATAAATCATATAGAAAGACTCGTTTCATAATCCATGGATTCATTGACAAAGGAGATGAGAACTGGCTCCTGGACATGTGTCAGGTATATACAAAGTGGTAACTTGTCTAATCAACTTTCATAGTCATTTTTCTTCAGTATTTGCTTGCTGTATTATTTTAACTTTAAAATTGTATGATGTGTTTCTCTCAGGTTATGCTGACTGTTGAGGACATAAACTGTATCTGTGTGGACTGGAAATCCGGCTCAAGGACACTCTACACACAGGCCGCCAATAACATTCGAGTGGTTGGAGCTCAGGTGGCTCAAATGATTGCTATTTTTAGGGTAAGTGGCATGAAAATTACTTGTGATGCTTTAATGGCTGATTATGTGTTAACTTTTTTGGTAACTGGTAAAAAACATGATGCACTAACGATTTACAACACATATAAAGATACAGTTTGACATATTACAATCTGTAACGCAACCAGTGTGTTATGCTTAATAGGCTTAACTCAAGCTTGAACACCTGCACTCACAAGTTCACACAGCCAGCAAATAAAAGAGCAAACTTTAAAGCAGCAGAAATTTCACACACCAATTTATTTGTTTTCCAGTCAAAACAGCCAATAAGAACAAGATATTCATTTTTCAGTGTCAGAAAAAAAGCAGGACACATAATCTAACAAAAAAGTATACAGAGGCCTCAACAACTACATATAATTTCAATGTTTCAATGTCACTCTTTGCCTTTATTACAGCTTCCATTCTTTTCAGGAGATTTGCTTTCAGTTTTTCAAAGAAATTTGCTGGGATATTTTGTCACAGCTCTAAAGTTCAGTCTTAGAAGTGGTAGCATGTTCTGCTTCTCACAATCCAAGTAATCCTAAACACATTCAGTGATGTTGAGGGCTCTGGGATCTCCATTCCATTGCTCTGAGAACAGCAGCAGCTTCTTTAATTTGCAATATCCTTCTTTTTTGTCTATTTTCTTTTCCCAGTAATGGCTTTGTGACAGCTACACATTCTTTCAGACTCAGAGCATAGAGTTTTCTTTTGACTTTCTCCTTCAATATGCAAGTGGATAACCTTGTATCTTATCTACACAGAAAAATTAATAACTTGTACTGGACATTAAATAGCTGAATGCTGGTCTCTGATTTTTACATGGTACTGTATAGTGGATAAAGTAAACACAGCTCACTTCTCCACTACCTATTTGTCCTCCTCTATTTTTTCTTTTGTTATTTACACCCTGGAGACAAGCTAATGGTCAGACATACACTACTTGCTGATGATGGTACTTGTTGGATATGCTTTTCAAACCAGATATCACACACAAACAGATAAAACTAAACAGTTCTTGAGCATCATACACATTTGTCACATTGGTCAGAGTTTTTTCCCCCCAACAGGACAGTTTCCAGCAGAGTCCTGCCAATGTCCATGTCATTGGGCACAGCCTGGGTGCACACTGTGCTGGAGAGGCCGGCCGAAGGACTCCAGGGCTGGGCAGAGTTACAGGTACTACACAGTCAAGTCAGAGACAACAGCAACACACTCAAATATCAAAGAACTAATAACAAATGAGTCAGTTATGCACAGGTTACCTCATATAAAAATGAACCACTGAACCACTTAGAAGAGTTGAAGGCACAAGAAATATTATTATTTGCCTTTTCAGAAATCAGAAATGTGTTTAGGTCCATGAAGTTTGATCACCCCCATTCAAATGGGTTTGTTTTACTTTAAGGTTTGGACCCTGCTGAGCCCTACTTCCAGGGCTGTCCTGCTCTAGTACGACTGGACCCCACTGATGCCTCATTTGTTGATGCCATTCACACAGATGGCCTTCCTATTGTCCCTTATCTTGGTGAGATTTACTTACATCATGGTTCTCAAACTCTAATCTTGCATGATTTAGAAACTGCACTGTTTCATGTTTTACTTTCATTAACACATCTGAATCGCCTAGACAACTCACTTATTATTTAAATCAAATGTGCGAAAAAAAGTACTATTGCTGCTAGAATTGTCAACAGCACTTTTAGTATGTTCGAGTAATTAAACATCAAGGCAGTTTCTGGACATTGTTAGTGATGCCGCAATCACTCTACTCACTTTAGGATTTTATTTTGTATTACTGTAGGCAAATACGTGAAACAAGCTACATACATAAATATACTATACTGGCCTGCACTAATATATCTGAAACATTTGTCTTTTCTTTTTTTTAGGCTTTGGAATGTCTGACCCTGTTGGACACATTGACTTTTTTCCAAATGGAGGAGAGGAGATGCCTGGCTGTGACAAGAACATAATCTCACAAATTGTGGACCTTGATGGCATCTGGGAAGGTGTGACATTATACTGCTGATGTCACATGCTTCTTATATGCGGTTTTTGATGAACATAATCTCATGAAAAATGCATGGTAGTTTTAAAGACAGAGGGTCATTTTGTTGTATTTCATACAAATGATGTCTTACAAAAGCTACATCCAAGAAGGCAGCTGATGTAAACTCATATGTTATAGCATGTTATAATCCATCCATAGAATTCTAAGCAAATAGGCAAGTTGAAGCTATAGATGCTACTTTATGTAACATGATATTGCTTGTTGCAATAATCAGTGCATGAACTAGGTCGGTTTTTCCTACTGCAGTAACAGAGACTGTCATGGTCATAAGCAGTCATGGTGCTGTTTCAGCCTCAGTTGAAATCTGTAGCAATGGCTGGGGAATGAAGTGGAGGCTCAAGTGATGGCATTTGTGCAGTACCATGGGGACAGGATGGAGGGCCATAGCTGAATCTGCTCTGGTTTATTCCTGCAGATAAGAGAGTGTGAGAGAGCCAAAGCTTCATACCTGGAGCTCTTTGAGTGGCTGATACTTGAGCTGCGGTGTGAAGAAGTCACAGTGATCCTCTCTCTCTCTCTGCACTTCTGTTCTTTCCTCTCATGTTGCACATCTCTCCTCCTCATTTGTTATTTTCCTAGGTACCCGCGACTTTGTGGCCTGCAACCATCTGAGATCCTACAAGTATTACAGTGACTCCATAGAGACCCCCGCAGGATTTCTGGGATACCCCTGCTCTAACTACGCACAGTTTGAGTCTGTAAGTAGGATCTCTTCAGCTTGAAAAGCACAAACCAAGCAGGATATATCAATAAAACCAAACAGGATGTATCTGTAAGACCAAGCAGTGTATGTCAATAAAACCAAGAAGGCTCTATCTATACAGATCTGGATAACACGTCTTGATTTAAACATAACTGAGCATCGCAGGCTTTAGAGTCAGCCTGGAAGAGGGGTGGTGTAATGGGGTGGAGGGACCACCTGTCGTCACACATGACACTGATATGGCTGTGAAACGTTTCTATTGTTTTAGAAGTCGATTTGCTGAGATTGGTTTGGGCAGAACCCCAGTGGGCTTTCCTCCATGTCTGCTGGTGGGTCTGTGTCTGCAGCTGTCCCTGCAAATAACACTTTATCCCCAGTTTGGGATGCATCCCAGCTAAACAGTGTAGCACACACACAGTGCATGACCTCATGTGCCTATGATCTCCTCAAGCACTGATATCTTCGGGTCGGTCTTCTTGTAAACGCCCGCAGGGTGTTATTCCTACATCTAGCTCACAGCTATAAACTTGCCTGTTCCCACACTATAAAACATGGTAAACTCTTGTCGTCCTTATATTTGGATTTACAGGGTGATGATCAAAGCCACTTGAAAGACAAGGGCACATTTTAAAAAAAGCCTTTGAGCGTTGTCTTTGCCAGTGGGCACTGACACTCTGTTGGTGATGGCACAAGGAGACTGAAACATCCATCCATCCATCCATCCATCATCTAAACCGCTTATCCTTCTGGGTCGCGGTGGGGTGCTGGAGCCTATCCCAGCTGTCATTGGGCGGAAGGCAGGATACACCCTGGACAGGTCGCCAGTCCATCACAGGGCAGACAGACAGACATACACATTCACACCTAGGGGCAATTTAGCACATCCAATTGGCCTGACTGCATGTCTTTGGACTGTGGGAGGAAACCGGAGTACCCGGAGGAAACCCACGCAGACACGGGGAGAACATGCAAACTCCGAGACTGAAACAGCAATGAGAAAATTCTTATTGACTCTAAGATAATAATTTGGCCGCCCAAGTCAAATTACATGTTTTGTTTATTTTTTAAGAGAAAATACACATCCTCTATAGAGAACACACCTCTGCACATTTTAAAGCACAGTCACTGCTTATTTGCTGAATTTAACATATTGAAAAAAAATATAACATAAAATGTGGCCTGTGCAAAAGTTATGGCACATTTTATATTTTTGTTTATTTTTTTTTCAATATTTTAAACTTAGCAAGAAAATGGAAATTGTGCACAAAAAATTTGCAGCAAATGCCATATTTCATTCTTTGTAGAGTTTAACTTGTTTTCAATCAACAAAATGCCATTTGACCAGGGGTGTTAAAAATTTTGCATAAGACTGTATTTAAATACTACTACTACTAATAATAATAGTAATGTTTCAGAAACATAATCATTTTTACTTTGAAACATTTTTAACAAGAAAAATAAGTAATAATAATACATTTTTATTTGATTCAGGATTCGTTATCTTTGGATTTACAATGTGACGATCTAAGATACGTGAAATATGAGGACACAAAAAAAAGCTCTGAGAGTTCTCTTTGCCTGTAAACTAGAGTAAAAAACAAAGTGAGCCAGCAATGAGAATATTCTTATTGACTATAATAATGTTTTACTAAAAACATTTTTCAGAAATGATATATGTAATGTAAGTACACATTCTTGACAATAAGTCTTTCAGAGAGCATGTTCTTGCTCTTGTAGATAACATTTTGTGTTTGTTTTTGTCCTTTAGGGACAGTGCTTCCCTTGTGCTGACGGTGCGTGCGCTACCATGGGTCACTTTGCCGACACGTTCAATGTACCCAATGGAGCGGAAAATTTGAAGTTCTATCTGAACACAGCCGATAGTCGCCCCTTTGCACGTATGTATACCTGTTCCAGGCATACCCACATACACCAGCCTGTAGTATTTTCTAGATTAAAATTCTTATTTTTTAAATTTTACTTGAAGAATACACTCTTAAAAAGATGGTTCTTCGAAAGTTTTTTAGTTAAGACAATGGTTTTATGTAAAACCATGAATACTCAAAGACCCATTTGCATGCTTAAATCACTCCATGCATGGTGAAATGGCTCCTCTGACTGATGGAGAATGTGTTGTATGTAGTTCTATATAGAATCTTTTTGAAAAGGGTTCTATATAGCACCAAAAGTGTTCTTCTATTGTTGCGATGTCAAGCTTGTAACAGTAGAAGAACCCTTTTTACATGCACATATTAACATTTACTGGTTCTGCTTGACTAAGAAGAATTAATGTGATCTTTTGTTTAATATTTGAAACTAAATATTTCTTCTCTAGGTTATCGCTACAAAGTGTCCGTAACTATCGATGGCTCTCGAAGCAATGTAGGCTACTTCAATGTGGCTCTGTATAGTGCCACTGAAAATACTCGCCAGTATCAGATTTACAGGTGTGCACTATACAGTCCATAACTGACAAGTTTTATGAAATGTTTTTCATAACTTTTGTTTGTTAGTTGTGAGTTGTATATGTGTTAGTTGTATATGTGAAAAATATGTACATTTCTAAGGTACAGTCTTTAATGCTAAAGCCAGTCCTATATAATTCACTGTCTTTGAGATCATTTTGAAACAGGACAGAAAGTCATTTCTTACTTGTTTCAGTGGCACACTGACTCCTGGGAAGACCTACGAGCTCCTGATCGACGTGGAAAAGGATGTGGGTGATCTGAGCTATGTGAAGTTTTTGTGGAACAACAACATTATCAACCCACTGCTGCCAACCTTTGGTGCCACTCAGATTACAGTGCAGAGAGGAAGGGACCGGAGAGTGTGAGTTTCTATGTCTGTCCGTTTCTGGGCCGCCACTATGGGGCAGGCATTTCCCTAGTTTAAACTGTATAATAATAATAATGATAATAATAATAATATCCTTTTCCCTTCTCTTTCTGATATCTTTCTCTCTCTCTCTCTCTCTCACAGGTTCAATTTCTGTGGAAAGGATCAGGTGCGGGAGAACGTCCTCCAGACACTGACTGCCTGCTAATGAAGATAAAGTTAGATTAGATTAATCATCTTAATAAAAGCATTAACACTAATATGGCCTTGTTTCATTTCTTGACAATGAGCTCTGGTGTCCTGAACTTTCACCTGTCATGATCTCACTGCTGGTATAAACCAGATTTATCTGCTTGCCAGCTAATTTACAGTGCATGTGTTAAATTAATACAGCTAGACTGTGCATTGCAGTAACTCTCCATGACAAGAAGTTGTCATCCTTAAATCCCTGAAAACCACTGAAAAATCAATTTTGGGCCCAGCCCTTATGCATAAAGGAAACACCGCCAAGGTCTGGAAAAGAAAGGGAGTAGCATTACATGAAACAAAAACGCACCTAGACACAAAGGTCTTAACATAACATTAAAAAAAAAGTGATGACTGAAAGTGAGAGTTTACTTCTGTGCCCTCACAGCAAAGAGTCAGGGTCTTATAAGTGTCTCTGGAGGCCCCCCACCCCACACTCTGAAAACAATGCAAAAACAAAACAAAACAAAAAAAAAACAAAGACTGTGCTTGTTTATTTAAACAGCTCAAAAAAGTTGTGAACAATTTCATTTAATGTAATTTGTCAGTCATTACTTATTCAAAAGCTTGTGCAGTGCAGTGGACTGTCCTCAGGTCTTGTAGCCACCTCAGGCATTTTGGTCTGATGCTCCTCGAGGACCCTGGCAGTCAGAGTGCTGGCCCCACTGGCCTACTGGTCAATAATCTATCCCTGGACATTCATTAAGATCCAGCTTGCTTTGAATAGCACCCTCAGTCAAAGCTATTGGACCCCCTGAAGGACAGCGATTGGTGTTTGATATGTAATAACCAGGGTACTTAAATACATGTTTTTTTCATGAGGTGAACTCATAAACAGTAAGAACAGTTAAAATCATATTACCTAAAAATGCTATTCTGTGTGTAATGAAGGATTTTCTTGGAATTGTGATTTTATCATTTGGCCATCATTGTAGGTTTTATTACTAGAAATCAACAACCTCAAATGCTTTTGAAAATTTGATGTATATTATAAAACACAGAAATGTTCTAAATCTGAAGAAAATCTATGTATTAAAAGTGTTAGAAGTTGAAGTCACTTATTATTATTAGTCCCACAACGGGGAAATTTCGCCTCCACAATCTAATCCATCCATGCAAGGAAACACCACATACACACTAGTGAACACACACACTAGGTGCCACACACACTTGCCTGGAGCGGTATCCACGGCGCCCGGGGAGCAGCTGGGGGTTAGGTGCCATGCTCAAGTCATGTACTGTTCAGGGAATCGAACCGGCAACCTTCTGGTCACCAGGCTGGTTCCCTAACCTCCGGCCCATGACTGCCCCCAGGTTATATACTGTACATTGGACGAGGCTGATGTTTCCATCGTATTTCTTTCTGGATTGTCCATTGGTAACTGTTGCAGAATTTGTTGGAAAAACTTACTGTGGTAGTAGGTATACGCCGCAGTATGTGGAATGTCAGTATGTCGTGTTGGTGGTCCTGCTAACTAACATTCCATGGTCATTGTATACAAAGCAACCAAAAAAAAAACCATGAAAATGGAAAATAGTTAGTTAAAAGTACTTCTTATCTATAAACACAGGTTAAAAACAAACAAACCAACAAACAAAGTAAGTTTCTCTAGAACAGAGCGTTTCACATCATACCACTCTGAATGATTTTGTTTACACAATTTAACAGTGGATTACTATTTAACATTACCTTTAATGCATTGTATATTAACACAACTGTGTTTAAAAATCAGCTTGCCTGATTGCCAGCAACCTGATAGCTAGTGTGTTTCTACAATAATAGAAAGAGACAGGCTTTACATTAAAAAATTTAACACAGGATTCAGGGAAACATCTCAAATTAGATGCTTTTAATGTGAGTTTATAAACCTTTTTCTAAAGTAGAGCCGTCCCAAGTAGTATTAAACTTTGTATGTGAAAGTGAAAATGTCACACTAGAACAATCCTATAGAGATGCTAGTGGAAATTAGATTTATTGTAGCAACAATTAAACAAAGCCTATGTGAAAGGCTGGTTTCCTGGAAATATTCCTTAAAATATTAACTCAAATATTAATTCCTGGACAGGGATTAAACCTATTAATGTACTGCATTCAAAATCCAGTGTAGTCCAGGACTAGGCATAACTTGCATACCTTCATGATCATATGACCAAAAAAAAACCTACTGAAACATCCTATACTTTATTTTGTGCTAAGTTGTAGAGATCACCACAGGTACTATTGAAGTTAAATTAAGCTTCCAAAAAACAAAATATATACTGCCCATCCTTAGTACAACCCCAATTCCAAAAAAGTGGGACGCTGTGTAAAATGTAGTTAAATGTAAATAAAAACAGAATGCAATGATTTGCTAATCTAATAGACCCATATTTTATTTACACTGGAACATAGAACACATATCAGATGTTGAAAGTGAGACACTTTACCATTTCATGAAAAATATTAACTCATTTAGAACTTGATGGCAGCAAAAGAAACTTACAAAAACTACACTGGGCCAGAAGGCAGACAGAGATAAATCTATATAGAGCCTAAAACACTTGCTCAGAAGTGACCAAAAAGCTGTTTTTGTGAGTTTGTTTTACGTTTTTATGACAGTTTTTGCCCTTGTGAAGCTTCTCAGAGTAGGAGTGCTGACCTAAGTTAAAGGTCAGAGGTCAAAAGTGAGGTCAAAAAGAAGAGATTTTGATCCTAGGCGGGCTTATGCTTAGATTAATGAATATGGGCCCAGATTAAATGTGGGGGGCAAAAGGTGAAATAGAGGCCTGTCACAAATATTATATCATTGCCTGATCATAATTATTATCTAGGCTGACTGCACTCAGTTTTTAATGCTTTTATTTGACTACAGTTGTCAAACACGATCATTAGCTTTCACAATCATAGTTGCAACAAATGGAAAGTGAATCAGGTGCATTTTCATCCAGATCAGTAATATGGCAGCAGTCAGTTTATTTATTTATTTGAGCTTGAGCTGTGTCTGTCTTCAGCTGGAAGCTTCTAAGCAATGACAGCTTAGAACCAAGATGGCTAATAAGCCATAGCCTTGTTCTCTATTATCTGGACACAGTTTTAAAAAGAAATTGCTAATTGTAATTATTTATATGGCAATTACTGGTCAGCTAAAATGTAATTATTGGTTCAGGCCTAGTGAAGTTTTGGTTGAGAGAATTTATAAAATGTTCTCTCCCCGTTCACTCTAGTTCATAATATCTGTGTCTGTTGAACAATGGCCACGAAAACACCGAAGAGGACAACCGAGCAAGAGTAAAGCTCAGACTGGCTTTTACTCACTGGTGAGAGCTAAAAGAGATACAAGGATGCAAGACAGTCTCATGGCTAAAGAGAATACAACAAAAATCCAACAGCAGAGTATAACTTACATCCCTGTTAAGATTGCAACACAGGCTGTAACCTTATCCCTGTCTCACAGAGTTTTGTAGTTTTTCCAGATGTTGAAAGTCATACTTCCTAGCATGCAAAGAAATAAATTCATCTCACGCCAAAAAGTTTGGTCAGTCTTGCCAGTCTCAGGCCAAATAAGACTTGAAAGTTGAAAGCTCCTAATAAAATCCTGTAATGTTACTGTACCTTGCAAGTCGGCATGGCTCTTTCTCTTCTGATGTTTGCAGGTGTTGTGCCAAATTCTGACTCCCTGGCAGAATCTGACTCCCCTTCACGTGCCTGCAGGCCTAGGGACACTATGAATTTACACTCCCCATCTCATGGTCTATAATCTATAACCTTATAAACCTTTATGTTTGTACCACCTTATCAATGTACAGTTACTAGAATAAAAAAAACCCTCGTGCTGTTCGCATGGACCACTGTGTATATTGATGAAGTAAGAACCCGTTTTTGTTTATACTGAGGGGCTTACAACTTATGTTCTTAACTAGAACTAGGCTGGTCAGCTAGCTAACGGGTTAAAAGATAGCCAACTGCCTAAACATCCCCACCATTAATATCACAGGCTTGAATTAAAGTGCTTACGATGTGATTTACTGTAAAACGACAGTATAAAAGCCTAAAAAATATCACTTGGATTACACGCTTTAAATGTCCATGTTTCAGCCAGAAGTAGCGTCAAACCCAGGCTAAATCCCAAATGACTCTGTACTGCCTAAATAGTCCATTAGAGAGTAATATTCTAGCCTCTACAGCCAATAGTGCATCATTTATTGAGTATGGATGTGGCTGAGTCTCAAATGACTATTTCTTAGCTAGCTGTATTTTGCACCATTGCGGTGCAGGATCCAGCACTTAAATTCTTACATAGTGCACTGTGAAGGGAGCAGGGAGCATCTGAGATTTAGGCCCAGCACATTGGTGCTAAATTTGACTCATGGTGTTAATTTAGTGGCTAAAACGTACGAAAGTTTTTGCAATAAACAGTGCTGTGTTATCATGTTTTTATACGACAAAAAGTTTAAAAAATCATGAAATGACCACAGTAGACAGCGATGGGCAACCGAAAGTTCTCCTCGTTCCGCGGTTCATGGTTGCAACCTCATAATTATGTGCCGTTGCCTTTTGGTGCCATGACTACATGTTGACAACTTGGCAAAATTCCATGGAGTTCCATGTTGTCACAACGTATGTGTTTGCTGGGGAGTAATCAATAAAGCAATAAGACAATTGCTTTATTACCAGTGGAATTTTGCTAAGTTGTCAACATGTAGTCATAACACCAAAATAATTATGAGGTTGTGACAATGTTGTGACAATGTTTTGACAACCTTGTTCAGACAACGTAAACTGCATTACCTTTTGACAACGTTGTAGCAACGTAGTAAGAAAATAGACAAAGTTTTGACAGTGTTGTGTGTTTGCTGGGTCCTGTGCAGTTTGAAGTTCCCTTCCAACTGAACATTTTCACTCTATGGTTTGAATCACCCTTTAAATGTCTGTGAACTTCACTACTACGAGGGCAATTGGAACGCACGTTGAGACTTTCGGCTTGAGCTCTCAGGAGGACTGAAACTGCACATGCGCTGTCTGGAGAGCCGCTAC